AAGAGTTTTATGTTGTTACTTCTGTTACTACCAGAAAAATCTTAGCAACAATCAATACAATTTAAAGTTTTTAATTTGCATAAATACTTGACCCCACAGATCCTTCTTGAACTTCAAAGTTTTTTTTTGATCCTGGATGTGCCCTACTTAATTATAATTCCAGCTGAATGTATTACTGAACAAGTCAGCTCCAAAAGGGTTACTTGGCTTGATAGATCCAAGCTTTGTTTCTTCTTTTTACAACTGTGGAGGTCAGTTGATAGAAACATTCACGTTGCAGTATACTTTTAATTTAAAAAAAGCATTCATTAAACAGAGAAACATAAACTATATTACACTTGATAAAAAGGTTGGAAAGATTTCATTACAAACCCTAGAAAAGCATTCAAACTTTTATCCCAGTAGTATCCTTAGAAACACCAACCCCCAATTAATCTGTATATCAAGGCTTCTTGCTTAGGCTGTTACAGCTGCAATTGGTTTGCTTCCAATAAATTTCCAAGGACCCACTAGATGCTTTTTCTTCAGCTGGCATGTTTCCCTGAAACATACAAACATACAAGAAAAGAACAGATATAGGCCATTCAGTGTGTGTTCCACCATTCAGTAAGATTGTGGCTGATCTGTTTGTGTTTGAATCCCACATTCCCATCTACCTTTGAAAACCTTTGGTTTCCTTGAGTAATAAGGATTTATGTCTCCCTGCCTTAAAAAGTATTCAGTGACCCAGCCTCCCCAACCTTCTGAGGCAGAGAGTTCCAATGTGTCGCAACCTCCTGAGTGAAGGGAATTATTTAGTTTTAAAATACTAATCTTACACCCAATCTTCTCTCTTTCAATCATAAAGTGGTCACTGTTACCTGTCTGAGATAGTAGGAACTGCAGATGCTGGAGAATCCGAGACAACAAGGTGCAGGGCTGGATGAACACAGCAGGCCAAGCAGCATCATAGGAGCAGAGAGGCTGACGTTTGGGGCCTAGACCCTTCATCAGAAAAGGGGGAGGGGAAGGGGGTTTTGAAATAAATAGGGAGAGAGTGGGAGGCGGATAGAAGAGGGAAGTCTTTATTCTGAATTTATTAATTAATCCTGTCACATTACACCACACCAAGTCTAATATAACTTGCTCTCTGTTTGGCTCCAGAATGTAATGATCTAAAAATCTACTTCAAAAGCATTCTGTGAACTCCCAAATCAGGCTGGTACTCCCAATCTCAATATAGTGTGGCGCTGGAGGAACACAGCAGGTCAGGCAGCATCAGAGGAGCAGGAAAGTCGATGTTTTGGGTCGGGACTCTTCATCAGTCCTCTTATCCTAAAAATATGACCTCTCATTCTAAACTGCCTCATGAGGAAGTATCCTTTTTACATTGTTTTGTCAATCCCTTTAGCATTTTATATACCTCAACTAAATCTCAGTACTGGGAAAGTGAGGCTGTACCACTGGGATGGTCTACATCAAAAAGACAAAACCAAAGGCATGTAGCATTCGTAAGCAAGTGAACAAATTGATACTGCACACTGAAGTAAGTATATAGGATATGACAGCCATACCTTGGTGTGGTTGTAGGATGACAAGGATTGGGACCTGAATGTTGAGGGCTGTATGACATTAAAGTAGAATAGGAAGTTAGCTTACGGTGGAGAGATAGCACTTTTAATCAAGGATGGCATTTGTGCAATAGTTAGAGATGATCTTCATTCAGGATATCAGGATGTAGAACTGGTTTGGGGGAGATGAGAAACAATAGGGTAAAAAAAGTCACTATTAGTTGTGTGCAGGTTCCCTAACAATAATAACAATTAAGGACAAAGTATACAAGAAGAAATATTTGATACTTATGATAAAGAGACAGCAATAATTATGGGTAACTTCTACATATAAACTGGAAAAATTAGATTGGTTGTACCAGGAGACAGCAAGAACTGCAGATGCCAGAAGTCAGAGCCGATACAGTGATGATGTTTCCTTGTGAGGCAGTCTAGAATGAGAGGTTTTAGGATAAGAGGTAGTAAGGTAACAGGTTTAAAACAAAGATGAGAAGGAATTATTTCTCTGAAAGGGTCTGAATCTGTGGAATTCACTACCCCACATTGTGGTGGATGCTGGATCATTAAGTAAATATAAGGAGGAGAGAGACAGTAACGAGTTTGAGGGTTATGGAGAATGGGTAGGCAAGTGGAGCTGAGACCAAAATGAAATCAAGCACGATTGTATCAAATGGTGGAGCAAGTTCGAGGAGCTGAATTGCCTGCTGCTGCTGCTCCTAGTTTGTTTGCTTTTATGGAGTTCACACACTTAGAACCATGCTGTAGCCTTGACCCATCACCTGTCCACCCATCCTTAATGCATTTTTTAATTTATCACCAATTTGTGTACTATTTTAACAATTAAGAGTAGAATAGATCATAGCCACTTGTCAGGTACTAATCAAACAGCGAGCTGCTTTACTTGTTGTAGACCAAGAGCCATTTCCACATTCTCAAATTTGCACTGTTTCCTTAGCTGCACTCCTTTTCCTGAAAGCCAAAACATACAGCAAACTAAACTTATTCTTATTTTGATTTCAGAACAAGCACACAAGTTCCCTAACCTCAGTTTCTAGCATTCTTGCAGCAATTTTTACTGGAGAGTTTAACACTCCTGCCTCCACTCTCTGGTACACAGACTCACACAGAGATTGACTGACTCCCTTCTGGGTTTTTCTGTGTCTCTTGTGTATCACTGTACTCCTGTCAACTAGGCCATAAAATATTGGAACAGAATTAGGCATTTTGGCCCATTGGATCTACTCACAGTCAAAGACTCGGCCTCCATAGCCTTCTGTGACAATGAGTCCCACAGATTCACTACCCTCTGGCCGAAGAAATTCCTCCTCACTTTCAGTTCTAAACGGGTTGACCCTTCACTCTGAAGCTTTGCCCTTGGGTCCTAGTCTCTCCTGCTAGTGGAAACATCTTCTCCATATCCACTCTATCTAGACTGTCAGTATTCTGTAAGTTTCAATGAGACAACCCCAGCCCCCCAATCCTTCTAAACTCCACTAAGTCCTCAGCCACTCCTCATACGACAAGCCCTTCATCCCTGGGATCGTTCTCATAAGCCTTAGCAAAGTAGCTTAGTTTTCATAGAATCCTTAGTGTGGAAACAGGTCCTTTGGCCAACAAGACCACACCAACCCTCAGAGCATCCCACCCAGACCCATCCCCCTAAAATCCACCTAATCTACACATCCCTGAACATTATGGGCAATTTAGCATGGCCAATCCACCTACCCTGCACATTTTTGGACTGTGGGAGGAAACCGGAACACCCGGAGGAAACACCCGCAGGCACGGGGAGAATGTGCAAACTCTGCACAGACAGTCGTCTGAGGGTGGAATCGAACCCGGGTCCTTGGCGCTGTGAGGCAGAAGTGCTAATCACTAAGCCACCATGCCGCCCATATCCTACCTTTTTTAACGTACTAAATTACTAACCCACTTCTTCACTTCAAAGGTTATAATACTCTCATTAAAAAATGCTTGTATATAAACAGACTTCCTGACTCTGTAAACCAAGCTGACATGAATTCTTAAACTTAGAGTTATACAGTGTTCCTAACAATACAATCATGGCTTTTAGAAATGTATGAAAAAATACCACTTGAGAATTAAGGGGCAAATCTGATTTTGGTATTGCATAAATAAATGTGAATATTGCGTTTTTGCAAAAGATGGATGAGAGAATATATTGGAGGATAACTATAGAACCATTTCTAAATGATTCTAAAGAAAACTATTAATATTCAAGTTCAAATCAGTTTTGCCAGATTGTATGCACTCTGGACTGTTGATGAGTTGGAGAAGCATAAACTAGCCAAATTGATCTAAAAACAGAATCCATAGTTAGAGATCAAATTATTGAGTAATTGGACATGTTGAGAATAAAGATATTCAGCATTTTCATTGAAGGCAAAAACAGAGTTAACATTTTGGGTCTGGTGATCCTTCCTCAGAACCCTTCCTCTGAGGAAGGGTCACCAGACCCGAAACGTTAATGTTTTTTTCTTTACAGATGCTGCCCGACTTGCTGAGCTTTTCCAACAACTTTGTTTTAGTTCCTGATTTACAGCATCCGTAATTCTTTTGGCTGTTATTCAGCATTTTCATTGCCTTTTTGGAAGAGATTTTTAAATTGATTAAATTAGATGTAATTTTTTTTTTAAAAGCTGTTTAATAAGGTAAAGATGACTTCCTGTACTTCCCCACAGATAGATACAGTGTGCTTGATTTGTGTTCTGGGTCGATTTTATGGCCAGCTCATTGACTTGGTCCATTCATACACCTGCCCAAACTTTGTGCTGAATAACAGGGGTGAATACAAAAGCACAATGAATTTATCTATTATAATCTTTTCCATACCTGTGTAACCTTCATCCATTTGTAAGAATGTTTTCACTGTGCATCAGATCAGTGTGGATTGCTCAAATTGTTTTTAATTACTCTTCTCTCAATCACTTTAAGGCCATTCTTTACTATATGCTTCCCTACTTGCTAGTATATTCTCATTACACTTGGTATGGCTTTCTATGTTAAAGGTGCTATGTAAATGAATTATTGTTGACTTCTGTTGGCATCACCCAAAAGAGGCCAGACCTCTCCTCACATACAGGGAAGGAACATCAGATGAAGAACCTTTCTTACTGCTGCTGAGAGACAGATTTACGGCAGTAATGAGCGAAGATTAGGAGCAGGTCACTTGCCTACCTGATTTCCAGGTCGCATGTGGTGTAGTGTATCTGATGTAGAAAATTGGGTGTAGGGGTGGCAGTTGAGAGTTTACCCTTAATAATATAGACAAGGTCACAAACCATTGATTAAGTTTTTTTTTAGTTTGCTAGTTGTTTAAAAGATAGGTTGACTCAGCAAATGCTAGTTGTAATTTGAGAGCATTAGCTTACAAATTTTTTTACATGAATGAATGAATGGATGTTTGTTTAAGGTGTCATTTCTTTTCAGAACCAAATGGGAAAGTTTGAACAAGAAAGGCTGCATTTGGAGCACCTTTATGAAAAGAAGGTAATGAAGTATACTGCAGAGCAGTGAAAAGACTGTTATTACACAATTAGTACCATTGACAACGTGGAAACTACATAGGGGGCATCAAAGGTTGTACATATATTAGTAATTGGATTAACTGCTTCATCAAAGGTAACTTCTAGCCCATGTAAGGAGAGAAGTTCACTTGTGATGCCTAACAAATCGTCAAATTGCTGTGAATAATTTGCAGTTTAATTGATGGCTATTTATTTCATTGTGTTTAATGAACCTGCTAAAAGAAACAAGATTGGGAGGACAGTTTGCTGTTTCAGTTTGAATTCCACATATACAAAACATTCTAGCAATAGTTGTAAAAAATATGAATGTTTCAAATTTGAAATTATGTTAAGAGTCCATTAAGGGGAATTGAAATGATTCAATGTAGTGGGTGTGAATTTTCATTTTTTTGTTTTATTATCATGGTGCAAACGACGTGCTGTGCATTTACTCTTTCTTTGTAAATAGATGAGATGTTCAATAAGTTGAAAGGTATACACCTCCCAAGAACAATGAGGTTTACCTTAAAAGGGACATCATCACTATGAAAAAGCATTTGTCAGATGTTTTATTATTTGCTTCCATATACACTGTACAGTCTAATTAATCACAGTGTAACATATATTGCATTACATGAATGGTATTTTGACAAAAATGACACCATGCACCTCTGTCTTTTCTGAAAACAGTCAAGAAATTCATCAGGGAGATAGCAAGAACTGCACATGCTGGAGTCAGGGCTAACAAAGTGTGGAGCTAGAGGAACACAGCAGGCTAGGCAGCATCAGAGGAATAGGAAAGCTGACTTTTCGGGTCGGGACCCTTTTCTGAAGGAAGCTTTCCTGTTCCTCTGATGCTGCCTGGCCTGCTTTGTTCCTCCAGCTCCACTCTGTTATTATCTCAAGATATTTGTCACATGTTTATTTTAGAAACAGTATCCTTTCAACTATAAAGTAAAAGGAGCAGGAAATATTTTCTTTTCTGAATTTGGATTACCTGAAATAACCATGGATGCTGTTGTAACATAACACTTGCCTTATGGGAAGCATTGAAGTGGCACCATTAAGCCACTAATCGCAAATGGTGCATCCTAAAGAATTCTACATGTGTGCAACACACCTGCTTTGCGTTAACAAATTGCTGCTTTCTGTCCCAATAAAACTATAACAGACTGGCAGTAATGCAAAAGCTGTAGAGTCCAGGAGTTAGAACAGCTGAAAGAATTTTTCGTGCTTTTAGACACTAGAAAGTGATAGCCAGTGTTTCCTCTAGAGTGTTTGCTGGAAGTATCACAAGGCTGAAGAGTACCTCTAACTGTCACTAATGTAATAAACAAGACTCAATAGATGCTAAATGAAAGAAATGCTTGACAACTTGGCTTTTGAAAGTATTAGTGATGTGAGAGCTGTGCCTATAAAACACAGATGAGCATTGAGATGGGTGCGATGTTTGCAGTAATGGGCACTAAAACTTGAAATGCGCCTTTTAAAATAGTCATTGCCGTAAGAAAAAAAAACTTTGTTTAGTTTGTTACAGAGATAGTAGGGACTGCCGATGCTGGAGAATCTGAGATAACAAGGTGTAGAACTGGATGAACACAGCAGGCCAAGCAGCATCAGAGGAGCAGGAAAGCTGACGTTTTGGGTCTAGACCCTTCTTAGGGTCTAGACCCTTCTTAGGGTCTAGACCCGAAACGTCAGCTTTCCTGCTCCTCTGATGCTGCTTGGCCTGCTGTATTTATCCAGCTCTACACCTTGTTATCTCTTCACACTTAGTTTATTTTGTTGGAAATAATTCCTTCCCTTTTATACATTTGGATCTGCAACCACCATCTATGACCCAACAAGATATGTAGAGAAACCTGGTCCATGACCATTACAACACCAGTAAACAAACTGCTTGGATGCAGTTTGGAGTGTCTTGGGAAGTAGAGCCTAATGTCTTTCTCCTTTCATGCTCTGCCTATTACCTTTCCAGATCAATATGACCGAAAGCAGGAAGACCATAGGATGTAGGAGCAGAAGTAGGCCATTCAGCCCTTCAAATTTGCTCTGCCATTGATTGAGATCATGGTGCATCTGATAATCCACAATTTCCTACCTTTACCCCATAACCTTTGATTTCTTGAGTGGTTAAAAATCTATCTCTCTTAGTCTTGAATATATTTAACAACCCAAACTCTGCGTTAAAGAATTCAGCAGATCCGCTGTAGTCTGAGGGAAGAACCTCCTCCTCATCTCTGGCCTAACATCAGTGACCCCTTACTCTCAGATTATGCCCTCTGGTCCTAGACTCTTCTACAGGTGGAAAGAACCTCTCTGTATCGACCCTGTCAAGTCCCTAAGAATCCTCTGTTTCTATATGGTCACCTCTCATTCTTCAAACCTCCAATGAGTACAGGGCCAATTTGCTTACTGTATATTCATAAGACTGCCCCTCCCTACTCAGGGTGAACCTTCTCTAGACTGCCTCTAATGCCAGCACACCTTTCCTTAGATAAGCGGACCAAAACAATTCACAGAATTCCAGATGTAGTGTAACTACTGCCATGCATACTTTTAGCAATATGTCTTTATAAGACCGTAAGAAATAGGAACAGGAATGTAGGCCATTCGGCCCCTCAAGCTTACTTTCCCATATTTCCTCTGTAACTCTTAATTGCCCTTCTGATCAAGAATCTATCTATCTCAGCCTTAATAATACTCTGTGGACCCTGTTCCCACATCTCTCTGTGGCATAGTTCCAAAGATACTCAACCCTCCGAGAGAAGAAATTTCTCCTCATCTTAGTCTTAAATTGGCACCCATTTTATTCTGGGACCATGCCCTCTGGTTCTAGACCCTCCCATGAGGGGAAACGTTTACCTTGACAAGCTCTTAAGAATCCTATATGTTTCAATGAGATCTCCTTTCATTCTTCTTAAACTCCAGTAGAGTCTCAACCTATTTAGCCTTTACTCATGAAGACAATTCCTCCATACTGGAGATCCATGCTCATGTTATGGGTAGAACGCAGAAAAGTGGATGTGAGCAGTGTTGAATCACCCAGGAGCCTACTGATGGCAGAGCAGGCTCAAAGGGACAAACAGCCTACTCCTGTTCTTATTTCTTATGATCTTATAGTCTGTGCCTTTCCTGAACTACCTCCAATGAAATGATATCTTTCCTTAAATAAGGGGACCAAAATTGCTCATAGTACTCCAGATGTGGTCTCACCAGCAGCTTGCACAGTTTCAGTAAGATTTCCCTTAAAATAAGAGACAAAATTCCATTAGCCTTCCTGATAACTGCTGCACCTGTGTTCTGACTTTGTGTTTCAAGTACCCCTAAACCCTTTTGTGTTGCAGCTTTCTGTAGCTTTTCTCCATTTAAATAATACTTTGATCTTTTGTTCTTCCTTCTAAAATGAACAACTTCTTATTTTTTGACATTAAACTCCCTTTACCAACTTTCTGACCACTTAACCTATCAATATATCTCTGTAAACTGTTTATGTCACTCTGGCACCTTGCCTTTCCACCTATTTTTCTGTTGTCTGTGAGTTTGGCTACATTCATTCGCTTCCTTGTTCCAAATAATCCTCCTTGAAATAAAGGCCAGTGTTCCATATGCCTTCCCTGTTACCTGCTGAACTTATATACTAACTTTTTGTGAATTCTACATGATAACTCTTAAATCCCTATGTACTTTGGCTTCCTACAGTCTTTCTCCAATTAAATAATATTCAGTACCTCTACTCTTCCTGCTAAAGTGCATAACCTCAAATTTTTCCATCTGCTGAGTTTTATCCATTTGCTTAACCCGTGAATATCCATCTGCATATTATTTGTGTCATCCTCACTACTTGTCTTCCCATCTATTTTTGTGTCATCCACAAACTTGGCAATAGTAGATTTGCTTTCCTCGTCCAAGTCTTAAGTATATATTGTAAATAATTGTGGCCCCCAGCGCTGATCCCTGTGGCAAACCTCCAATTACAGGATGCCATCCTTAAAATTCCCTCCTTGTCTTAACTCTCTCTCTATTCGTTAGCCAATCCTCCATCTATGCTCATCTACCACCTCAACATCATGGGCTCCTATTAAGTAGTATAAAGTGTTGTGCCTTATTTAAATGCCTTCTTGAAATCCTTTGCTTCCCCTTTATCCTGCTTGTTCCCTTCTCAAAGAAATCTAATAAATTTGTAAGGCATGATTTTCCCTTCTGAAACTCATGTCAACTCAGTGTGATTTATATTATCTATTTCTAAATGCATTGCTATTACATTCTTTACGGTAGGCTCTAAAATTTTGCATTTTTGTATCCTTCCCGTTTTGGATAAAGATATTACATTCACAGTTTTCCATTCCTCTAGCACTTTTCCAGAACCTGATGATTCTTTGAAGATTACTACTGTATATATCTATAGCTAATATTTTTAATATCTTAGGATGCATCTCATCAATCGAGGCCACCTATTAGTCTTTAGCTACTTAGTTTCCTGAGTTCTTTTTCTCTAGTGATAGTTATTGTATTTACTTCCTCTTTTCCTTTTCTCCTTCTGCTCCTTGATTATTTAGTAATTTTGGGATACTATTAATGTCGTCCACTGTGAAGCCTAATGCAAAATAGTTATTCAGTTCCTGTGCCATTTCCTAGTTCCACACTATTATTTCTCCAGCCTCATTCCCTATTAGTCTATGCTTGCTTTGGCCTCTGTTATAGAGCGGAGGTTGACCCCCTCTGAGAACTAAAACTGAAACACCCAGAGAGGCTTGCCTTGCCCTACAATCTGTTAAAAAGTGGTATAACCTGCCTCTCAACCCCCAATCTGTTATAAAGGAGTGGTTAAATGAACTAAACTCCTGACACTCACTCAATAATCAACAAGTAACAATTTATTTATCTAACTCTGACAGTGAACAAATTAACTGAAATTCTAACAAACCAAATAATTCTCATCTAACTACCAAGTATTCCCAACTAAAATAAGATTCTAGTGGTATACTGTTTCAATAACTGTAAGTCCCACTTATATAAAACCGAAATAAAGCAATACTTGAACTTAGTCTCTTGAAATCACAGCCAGCTTTTGTCTTCTGGAAGATTCTGTGCCTTGTCTGTTGATCTTCTGTCAGGAATGTTCTCTCTATGAATTTTTATGTCAGGAATATTAGCTAAGAATGCCGCAGTACCTTTATTAATTAGATGATGCTTTCTCTAAGAGCCGAGAGAGCTGATTTCTTCCCAGACGGCTGTTGATTCTCTTCCGATTTTCCAAATGCCCTCATTTTTTTACAACCTTGATGACATATCAGTTTCTTACAATAGGATTTGTCCTTTGTTTTCAAAACCATCACATTTAAATTTAATTGGTTTTTGGTATCTAAGAGCCTGGTTTAAATTAATTGGCTAAATTCAAGTTTGTTGCCTTAATAAAAATGCTTCTTTGCCTGCTAACAGTATAGCCGTTTGACACAAATGTACAATTCAGCTGCTTGGTGCACCTGCAAACCCACAAGCTGCCCACAGACCTTTTTTGTCTTTCCAAGTCCACATCATCTTTTAAAGGGACCATGCACTGCCCTTCCGCCCCAATCATTTTGCAAACACTGATATTTTAAAAACACCAAATTTTGACATTCTGCCTTCCAATCCACAAGTACTGTACCCAACTTCGCAATACTTCTCTCTTCCATTTCACACATATAAAGAATCTCTTGATGCCCATCTTGATATTATTTGTAGTTTACCATAAAAAATTTATTGTCCTATAAAATCTCATACTTAATCTAATACTTAATACCAGCAATTCTTTTTCAGAAAGAAACAAGAAAAACACTGGCGATTAAACACAAACTGAAGACCTTACTTTTACTCTAAAGAATAAAAAAGATCAACTTCTTTTCCTACACTGACATCACACTGTGCTGATTTCACTGCAGGTAGACCTCTCAATCCAAGCTCTGTTCCGCCTTTGCTCTGAATTCCAACTTGTACCAAATTTCCAATTCATTCACTTGGCCTTTGTCTCACTCAAAATCTCCCTCATGTTGCCCATGCTCATTATTGACCCATAACTTTACAATACAAAGGATTTCAGGCACTGCAAAATACTTCCACTCAAGGTGTCTGTCTGTATTTGTGTTTTAAAGGAACTTATTAATTTTAACTTGACACAACTGTTCAAGCTCAGATTATTATTAGAAATTTTATTATTCACGCTTGCTAAATCTAATTTTTCAGCAGCATCAGGAAACATACAATTCATAACAAATTTCTGCGTTAAGGTGGATGATACACTAAATTCCGAAAAAACTGAATATGGTGGTACATAGAGATCTGAGGGCTACTTGTACAGTCATGCAGTTCTTATATACGTATAGGTCAAAGACTGGACTACACCATTATGTCCCAGCTATTCAACCCAAGAATGCATATTAAACTGGGCATATTAAATTTGTCCACTGGCCTGCTTTGCTTCTTTTTTTCTCCACTAGCCTTTTCCCCTGCTGATTTTTACATGAAAGGAATAGAAGTGTTAATTGTGTCTTAAATGGTCAGTAAACAGCTACATTGGTTAACATAGACAGTTTAAATGAAGGGAGAAAGAATAGTTAGAAATCCTAGAATCTCTACTGTGTGAAAGAAGGCCATTTGGGACCTCGGGTCCACACTGATCCTCCGAAGAGCGTCTCACCTCACCCACCAAAATCCCTGTAACCCTGCATTTCCCATGGCTAATCCACCCAGCCTGCACATTGCTGGACACCATGGACAATTTAGCATCGCTAAATCCCCTGCACATCTTTGGACTGGGAGGAAACCAAGCAAATAAGAGGAAACCCAAGCACTCACGGAAGGATGTGCAAACTCCATACAGACTGAGTTAGTACTTTTTCCAATTTCCAGGAATGCAATGCCACTAGGGAGGGAGGTAAAGTCAGCTTGACATTAATCATAAACTCATGGAAATGTCTTTGTGGCTGATCACAGAATCCCTACAGTGTGGAAACAGGCCCTTTGGCCCAACAAGTCCACACTGAACCTCAGAGCATCCCATGCAAACCCATCCCCCTGTAACCCACCTAATCTACACATCCCTGAACACTATGGGAAATTTAGCATGGCCAGTCCACCTACCCTGCACATCTTTGGACTATGGGAGGAAACTGGAGCGCCTAGAAGAAACCCACACAGACACAGGGAGAATGTGCAAACTCCACACAGACAGTCGCCCGAGGGTGGCATCGAACCTGGGTCCCTGGTGTTCTGAGGCAGCAGTGCTAACCACTGA